TAACCATAAATGACCCTGTTTGTTTACATTACAGATGATGTTGTGCTGGATATGCTGTCCCAGAAAATGGAAGAACTGGTGTCTGAAATAAAATACCGGTTTCCATCTAGCGTGGTATGTAGAAGTCACTGTGATAATAAAGAGTGGATGCTTAGTATATTGTTTCTGGTTATGGATTTTATCATTTTCAAATAGCTGGAATTACACAGTGTAGAAATTTACAGAAATTAGGTGTATATGGGGTAAAGAGTGAGTTTGTAAGAATATTTCTAACTACTGAAAACAAGTAGTTGGAAGTTTTTTTCTTTATGCTGTAATTTTTTAAAACTATGTTCTGGTCTCTTGCAACATTGCATTAATTTACTACATTCTTCATACTAAAACAGGCTAAAGTTTACAGAAATAAAGCATAAATATATTGCATCCAATTATTTTTGCTTTGTAAGTGGCATCCTTAAAAAAACCAAAACCCAAAAAGCAAAACAAACCCTTGTGACAGTTTGCCTGAAGATTTAATCTGTGTTAAATTTTAACAAGTAGTCATACTCAAAAAAGGTAACTGTTAAAACATTAGAAACAGCAAAGTTATTCAAGCTATTTAATGTGTTACACTAATATTTCCTTTGCAATGGCTTGCTGTCAAGAAACCAGTAATTAGAAGTTTGTTCATCAAGCCAATAAAACTGGTTAGTCTTGAAACTTTGCTCTTCTTAGTTATGCATTTGGCTTGCTTACATAATTTATCTCAAAGACAGTTAGACGCAAACTTATTCTCCAGTGTCTCCTGCAGGCATTGCCTGCACCATTTGAATGAAGACTGCAGCTATAAGGTAGTGCAGAAAAAAAGAATCACAAAAGAGAAGAAAACTCCCTCTTCTGTTGTAAACCTAACTCGTTGTTCCCCATGTCCCCTGTTGACAGACAGCACAGACAGACAAGGCCAGAACACTCTTGTTCTGGCAATACAGCGTGGGACGTGCAACTGCTAAATCTCCGAAACCCATTCCTTGTTACCTTCCAGTACCCATTTAGATTATTTAAATCATAGTGTTAGTATTCAGTCTGGTATTACAGTTGCTTTGGATTCTGCAGAATCAGACCCCACATATGTTTAAAACACCAGCTGCTTTAAAGACTTATGTTAGACACAGTGTTTTTATTAATAAAAGAATATTAAAAATAAGTGAAGCAACAAGGTAATCTTGTATTTGACAATTCTCACATTTCTCTCCAGGAGATAATGACCCTCGTGGATGCAACGCTTTTGAAACTGCAGAAGTAAAAGAAAAACTTTGTCTAAGAACAAGACTTGTACACTTCTGGTTCAGATATAAAAGCTTGGATCCTCCAGAAATACTTTAGAAGATTTTTCTCACCAGAAAGATCAATATTGGGCCATTAATATATAAACAGTTATATATTCTGTTGATTTAGGTACCACAACTGTGAGACTAACAGCAATAATTAAGAGTTCAGCTTACTTTGTAGACTTTAAAATACTTGAAATAAAGATTTTAGTCTTGGGAGTTTCAGCAAAGCAATGACTGTTTCTTCCTTCATCTATCGTAATTTAAAAACCCTTTTTTTTAACTTATTCAGTGTGCATTTCCTTGGCAAAAATTGAACTGATGAAGTACTTCACAAATGTAGGCATTTGTTACAAGTATTGTTTAAACATGGTAGTAGGCATTAGGCATAGGTACCATCCAGAAAGGGGATACTAGCAGTATTCTTGTATGGCAGCTAGGTTAGGAAGTATTGTCTTTTGATTGATTTTTATGAAGTAGCTGCTGTCAGTTCTGAGTTATCTCTAAATTTGCCCTGGAATGTGACATGAAACCAGCAAATGCTGCAGATAAAAAACACAGGGTAGAATCATTCAAGTTTTACAATTTTTGTTGTTAGATTTGTTCTTAACAGCAGCTTCCCATTTCTTTTTCTCTAAGGTGTACAGTCTCATAGCTGCTTGTGCATCCTGAATCTAAAAGAAAACAGAACAAACAGGAGGCTTAATGAAACATAGCTGACATGGTTTAAGAACATTATTGTTAATAAGCAGCTAAATCTTCCATCATTTTAATACATCCTTTCAATTAACATTTCGTAATATCTTTCTAGATTTAGGTTCTGTGACTAGTGGAAGGGGATGAATATGTGTTCAGAATGCATGGCCCACCACAAGGCTATGCACTTCTCTTTCTGATCGTGACTTGGAAAGCCATAATGACACAGTATCTTGGAGATACCCTGCTTCTTCAGTTCATTTCTGTCCACTGAAAGAAAGGAACTAACTGCTGAGATTCAGTAGTAGGCTCTCGCACTATTTTATCCAACCCGCCATAGTACAATGGTGCAGAATGCTGCTTTTAAGGTAAGCAGTTGATACTTGAGAATTACTTTTTTCCTCAGGGATCTTAAAATGACAAGAATTAATATTTAAACCAAATACAGTTGACTTGTGCAAAAGAAGTTTATGAATATAAGGAAATAATCCAAGTGGTATGAGACACATAACAGTAAGCAAGCTTAGATGGCAATCTTACTGCTTGCTGGTGTTCAAGCAGAGCTTGCTAACTTTCATTGAGAGGCTAGAATGCCACCACAGCATTCTAGATCGAACCCAGATCCTAGAGCTAATGTGTAGTACCTTGTTGATCTACCAAAAAACGTATGTTCTGATGAGATACATACCGAGCAGTGCTCTGATGTCTGCACTTGAACATTCAGCAGTCTCTCACAGAGCAGTTTCAATGATGGCCGTGCATTCTAGAAACAGAAAAGACAGAATCATGCTTTCTCACACTACTTGAAATATATATAGATGTGTGTATATATATATAAAAAAACCTAGTTTAAGTGTATTCCTCAATAAAGTATAGCACATCTCAGCTTCTACTGGTGAACTGTCCAGAATTAATGAATTAAGAGATCTATGCACTGCTGAGAGGATTTTGTATGTATTATCATAACCCTAAGATTTATGTTTGTTACGCTTTGTTGTGAAAAAGAAAACCTGAGTACATAGTTATGAAACTTAAAATATCTCCCTATAATCTGAACCTTTAATCCTGCAGTCTAAGCAGAAACTTGGAGCCATCTGTTTTTTTTTATATCCCTATGGAAATGATACTATTAAGAAGATCACATAAGCCTTACTGTAAGTAGAACTGTGCTGTCTTATTTTGCTATCCAGAAAAGCATTATGACGAACATGTAAGTGCTAAAGAATGGGAGAGTCACTGAATTTTGTGCACAGGTATTACTGGTAATGTTTGTACTGAACTAAGTAACTTAGTGATATACTTCAAACACTAAGCATTCAACTAGACTAGTATTTTCAAACGACAAAAAGCGAGCATCCCTGCTTCAGGTAGGAAAGAAGGAACAGGGTCAGGAGCAAGTGTAGGAGTGAGCTAGCAGCTGGGAGTCAGCACCTCAAGAGTCAGTAACTGAGGTGCACGTTCATTTTCTTACCTTGACTCTCTGTCTGAAAGGCTTGTATCTTTGTGTGTCACGTATTTTCTTCTTAGGGTGATCAAGAAATAGGACCTAGAAGAAATTACATCTCCAGTCCAAAGCGTGCTGTTGCATGGAAATCTATGCAGCTGAATGTACAGCTTCCTGCTCTTTTCTTCCATCCATCATAAGAGATTGTTCAAAACCATGAATGGACAAGACCAAAATCATCCAGACACTGGCTGGATTCAAGAACCACAGTTCTACTTAGCATGAGAAACAGAACTGAATCTGGAGGCACCACCTGTAGAGACTATCTGCAGTGCTGGTACAGCATGACATAAGATACCTGTCTCTGGTAACGATGACCAGACTGCTGAGCTTTGGGGGCTAGGCAAGCATGCAAACAGTTTTTTCATCATTCTGTTTCTTTCCTGGCACTTTGGTAAGCAGATCAGTGCTATTAGCAACAGAGTTTGGAAGTTGAATTTCAGTGGGCAAGTGACTAGGGCTATACTTGGTGCAGCATGAAGTAACAAGAAACTAAGATAACAGGGATAAAGCTGTAGTTTCTAGGAGTTCAGGTGTGTTCATCTGACCCAGAAAGATGTATTAGAAATTTAATCAATCTTAAATTTTTGGAGCCTTGTCTTCAAAATAACAAATCTGCAGCCATGTACCTTTAGATCATTGCGTAAAGCATGTCCAACTAAAATCCTTCCATTCAAGATGTCAGCGACCTCCTTCTGAACTGTTTTAAAATCTTCACCTAAAAATACCACACAATGAAACACTTTCCATTAGAAGACAACTAAGCAAACTACAGTTAAAACACTGCATCTTTTTTGTGAAGGCAATTGTGTCCTTGGGACTGTAGTTATATAAACTTGTACAGTACACTAAATCCTCTGCTTGTTACAAGAGCATAGAGAATTCCATAAAGAGCGTAGCACTAAAAGGAAATCAACTTCCTATTATTCCCACACCATAATCCATGAGTTAATTTCTTCTAGGGCATTAGTGACCACTCTAAAAAGTACTTCTTCCCACAATTTTTCTTAGCATTCAGATTACATTTTGTTTTCCGTTTCACAAAATAGGTCTAAAACTTATCCAAGCTCAGCCAACAAGGCCTCTGTGATAGTCTGTTATTGAGATAGTCTGTTATATTCTCCCTCCTTAAAGAACATTTTTGGGAAAAAAAACTCCTACCTGTATTTATATTCCCAGGGCGTATGCCACTAACAGCTGTTCTGTAATCAGTCACCTCTTCTGTAGGCTTGACATACTTGTCATAAATGCACTTTCCAAATTGGTTCACGATGGACACACGAGCCACAATACTGTCTTCACCCTTGGGTCCCACTCCCACCATTTCACAGTCCATGGCTACAGCACGTGTCAGCCTAAAAGACAAAGGACAGTTTGGTGACATCTCTGTTACAGGGACCGCATAGTGGAGTTCACAAGGTTCATGCGTTGATATGAACGGGGAAAACTCGGCAGTTTGTCTGTCGGCAGACTCGGGGAGATGTCAGCTTACGCTGTGCACCTGCAAATCACAGTTAGAAGATAATCTCGATGCCTCTGCTGCCATCTTTCCCGCTGGAATGCCACTCACCCTTCAGAAGCCTTTTCTTTAACCAGCACCTGCTCCACAGACTGTTTGGATTGGCCTGTTTCAAGTCCCAGATTTCTTCTAGCAATTTTTGCTGCTTCGGGTCCTATTGCTGCTTCAATATCTTTTGGATCAACATCGTCAAACCAGATTTCAGCCCTGGTAAGTACAGGTTTAATTACGTTTAACAATCTTAAAGCAGTCTTGCATCTTTATAGTGTAGGAAAAGCATATTTATTTTTTAAATCAAGAAATTAGCTCTGTGAAAATTACTCTAGTACCGTCACTTACGCATATCGTTGCTATATCTGAGAAGTAGGGGCAGCACGCGTCTTATTTCTCCCAAAATTTTGTCTGGAAGAGTGCAGCCATTTTGACAGTACTGCTCTGTGCTCCTTAGGTACACCTCCCAAAATAAATATTCACATATGTGTATGATGCCTGAAGTACTCACTCTTTGGGTTGCTGCCTCGCATGTTCTTCAGCTTTCCTCCTCTTATGTTTTATATCACCTTTCTCCTTTAAAATATTGCCATTTTTCTTTTTTTCTTTGCAGCCTTTTCCATCGCTTTTGGTGCCATTTGAATTCTTATCCATTGCAACCCTCTTGGATTTTGGCTTAGCCAAAGGAGGATTGACTTTAGCAGAACCATTGTCCATTTTATTTGTGGATTTGACCTTTACCACATTCCCGTTCCCATTGACAGCTGGGACTTCTTGGCTATTTCCTGCTTTGAGTGGATGCTTCTTTTTGGTGTATGTTTGACATGTAGAGAGGGACTGGTTGGAGCTATTTGCCTTTTGTTTCAGTAGCTAAAACGACAAAAAAAGAAAGGAAAAAAGGATTATCTCCCTCTGTTTCTGGCCCTGCCATCATTCCCGAGGGCTCCTGGCATTCTGCCTCAGCGCCAAGTGGCCCTGCACTCCCTGGCTGCCTCTAGGGCGATCACCTGCTACGGGATGTCCCAGATCCCCGCCTGCAGCACTTTATTTATTGACACAAACTTTTTTTTTTTTTTTTTAATTCTATATAAAAAGTAGATCTGCATTCAAAGAATGACAGCATAGCCCCGGGCCGCCCCGGAGGATGGCTCCGGCTCGCCCCAGGCGCCCCTCCCGGTCCCCCTCACCTCCTGCAGCG